ATGTATATTTATTATATATATAAGGCAGGCTTCAGAGCTGTTGTTCATAGATAGGGTCGCTATGAGTCGCGGGCAATTTGATGGCACATAACAATATATTATTGTGTTTAAGATGAATGTCTACAAAGCAAACTAGATTCTACTCAAATTATTCCATGAAATTGTTTTTATTTTTTTCCTAATGTGTCATCATCCTCTTCATTCAACTCTGGTTTGATCCTTTTTTTTTACGATTTGGTCTCATAGAGCTGTTGTAGGTTTTGAGTTTTGTATCCATTTGGGTTTGTGTGCTGTTTTTTTTTTTTTTTAAGGAGCTCATTGCTTATGCATGATATTTTCTGTTTCATAAGTTTGTCTATTATTTAGCTAAAAGGTGATTTAAGGGATAGTTTTACATCAGAATTTAAAAGAATATCATCTTCTGGGAATCCTCTAGTCTCAGTTGGTCCAGTGAGTCTGGACTTTTACTGTTGATATTTATGACAATTAGACAAAGATGAAAAACAGTACTGCAGAGGGTTAAAGTAAAAATTAAAAATAGGCATAGAATGAATCACATCTAATGTGCTTTTCAAAGGGTCCTTAGTCATGCAGTATTTAGGTATGCTGCCAACGGAAAGATTCAAACCCCAGCTGCTCCGGGGGACAGATGTGGTGTATTCTACTTCCAAAATGATCTACAGTCTTGGAAACTCTGTGGGGGAAATTCTACTCTATCTTTACAGGGTCGCTCTAATTCAGAAGGAGTTCTGGTGGCCTAGAGGCAAGAAGCTGTGCTGCAATCCCTAAGGCACACAGTTTAAATCCACCAGCTGCTCCACAGGAGAAGAATGGGCAATCTCCTCCTGTGTGATTAGCTGCCTCTGAAAACCCATCAGAGGGTCAGCTATGGCTTTGTTCAGACTCAGTGGTTGTTGTTGTTTGTTGTTTAATGCCGTCGAGTCGTAGACGACTCGTAGCGACCCTATGAACGAACAGCCTGAGCACTGTTCGTACATAGAGTTTCCGGAGGCAAGCCCTTTTGGAAGTGGATGCTGCTCCTGCTTCCAGGCTTGATTTAGTCGGGAAGCTCCAGCCAACACTGTCCACCATGGGTGCCCATTACCACGATTGGCACATCACTGTCACAGGCTTCAGCATCACAGCAACCAAGAGTTACCTCTGTACAGCAACGCGCAGACCAGTGCTATACCACCTAGAAGAATGTTTGACAGGAAGACAATTTGAACCTGGCCGAGGGCCACAGATAATATGAGTCAAAAGAGACTCCATAGCAAAAGGTTTGGTTTTGGTTTGAAAGTGCTTCACTTATCACAGTAGGTATTTGAAATGATGCATTTGACAAAGGACTTCAAACCACTAAGATGAAGCACCAGGCTTGCCATTTCATTCTCAAGAGGGATTCTCTTTATTGGCAGTGTGTGCGTGTGTATATGAGGGTCCTGGATCATCGGTTGTGCCATAATTTCTTTTTGTGAATTCTATCCCTCATTCAAAATCATAAAATGCTCTTATTTAACATATACTCATGAAGAGTTTTTAAAGAGCTCTGATGACCTATATGGGTAAAGGAGCTGTGCTGCCAACCCAAAGGCACGTGGCTTGAATCCACCAGCTGCTCTGCATGAGAAAGATGGAAAATCTCCTCCTGTCCAATTTACTGCCTCCAAAAACCCACGAGTTATGAGTCGCTTTGGACTTGAGGGTACATAACAACAACAACAATAATGAAGAATCTTTAGTATATTCACAATGTTGTGGCATGATCACCATTCCCTAACTCCTATCCATTTTCTTCAACTGTAACCCTGGGCTCATTAGCGTTCATGTCCTACCTGCTTCTATTTCTGACAGCCATCAATCACCTGTTTGTGTATATAGATTTATCTATTGTAGACATTCTTGTAAAAAGTCACACAATATGTGTCTGAGAGACTTGTTTCACTCACAATAATGTTTTCAAGACTCATCTATGGTATAGCATATATTAGTATTTCATTAGTTTTTATGCCCAAGTAATATTCCAAGATGTAGTTGCATTGCCTTTTTTTTTTTAAATCCATTCATTAGCTGGATAATTGGAAGTACTCTAGGTTTAACACCTTGTCTCAAATACAAGGAGAGAAAAAGTCTTTTCTTTTCCTTTCAGTTAATCCCCCTCGGGATTTCCAAATAATAGATCTTGGATATTTAGGCTGCCTGTATTTACAGTGGAGGCCTCCATTACTTCTGGATAATTTTAAGGAATGCTCAGTAGAATATGAACTGAAATACCGCAACTTGGGTGGTGAACGTTGGAAGGTAAGTAAAGTATGCACTTGCAATATCAATATTAGGAATTTTCTGGTGCTGCTTTAATTCAGGGTAACTCTAATTCCAATATTTTAACAACTAGAATTCAGAAATTACAACCTGTAGTGAATGCTACTATCATCTGAGTATCCTGTTGCCATGACTACCACTCTAACACACACAGTTGCTCTGCTAATCCAAAGATGGCATCTCTCTGGTGGTTTAAATCCACCAGTGGCTCTGAGGAGGGGGGAAGATGAGCCATTTCCCCCTGTGTAGTTTACGACCTCTGAAAACCCACTTTGAGGGTTAGCTGTGAGTAGGTTCTGACTTGATGGCAAAGAAAAGAAGGACAGGAAAACAAAGCCAAACTTGACGGCATGGGATACAAAAGTGAGGAGTACTTCAACACTGTGGTACATTTTTCAGTTATTTATATGTTCCTACCAGAGTCTTGGGGAAGTCTGGTGGTGGTGTTTCATAGTAAGTTGTGCTAGTAATCCAAGGCGGCACCTCTCCGGTGGCTCAAATCCATCAGTGGCTCCATGGAAGAAAGAAAGGAAATCTCCTGTGCAATTCTTTAGCCTCTGAAAAATCTGCTGGAAGTTCGCTATAAGTCAGTTCTGTCTGGAGGGCAATAAGTTGAGTTACTATAGATCTTATATATGTTACTGGACAATAAGAAATTTTCTCTGCAGGAGTCAAGCTTTATCATTGTACCCTTCCCACTGAACCCAGCATAATGGTTTGTACATATCATAGGAAGTATTTATTGCAGACTTGTTATGTGCTGTCAAGTCACCTGTGACCCATAGTGACCATACAACAGCTCTGAACCCTGCCCTGTCCTGAGCCAGTCTCACTAATTCTGACACCCCAAATTTCATTGCCCCAGTTACTGTGTCAATCCATCTTATCTGGCATCTTCCTCTCCTGTGCTGTCCCTCCACCCTCAGAACAGAGCAGAGTAGCACTGTATGGCTCAAAATCCAGAAAGGAGTGCGTCAGGGATACATCTTGTCTCCATAACTTTTTAATCTATATGCAGAACAGATCATTTGGGAAGCAGGGCTTTATGGGGAGGAATGTGGCCTCAGGATTAGAGAAAAACCCATCAACAACCTGCCTTATGCTGATGACACAATCCTGCTTGCTGAAACTTAGGAGGACCTGAAACGCTTGCTGCAGAAGGTCAAGGACTGTAGTCTTCAGTATGGATTGAAGCTCAACATCAAGAAAAGATTCTCACCACTGGGCCAATTGGCAGCACCATGAGAGATGGGGAAGAACTTGAGGTTATTAAAATTATAGCTTGCTCACCTCCACAATCAACACTCTTAACATCAATAGTCAGACAAATTGCAAGCTTACTGAATTATTAACTATTTACATACTTGACAAGCATGCTAATTAGAGTTCTGTTATAGAAAGTATTCATTAGCTCTCTAATTCTGATCAGTTTCAAGAAACAATTAAAATAAAACATCTATTGGGCAATTTTTCTGCTAGACATTTGGAATATAGGGTTTCAAAAAATATGTTTTTATCTATCAAGAGCTCATAATATGCATGACTTTCTGTGACATCAAGTAACTCCATATGCCTCCAGGATTTTACATTATGCGATTTCTGAATGGTTCATATTGTATTGGAAAGGTCAGAAATCATTTGCCAAATCTATGCATATTCTACTACCCTCCATCAGTTTTGTGAGGCATAAATCTTTATGGGAGGAGGTTGTTCATCTTTCTTCCATAAAGTGACTCAGAAATTAGCAATACCAGCCTTTCAGTTAGTGGCCTGATACTCTTAGCACTACACTTCCAGGGTTCCTAAATAAAATATGTATTTGTAGTTAGGTACCATGGCGTTAGGACCAACTCATAGTTGACCAGCGGGTTTCACAGGAGATTGTCCATTTTTCTCCCACAGAGCAGCTGGCATGCCAGAGTTCCCTATGCATATAGTATGTGAAAATCATTTATATGGTTTCCAGTTATTTGTTCAAATTCCTATCCATGGAGAACCCACACCCTCCCATCCATTGCAGCTTTTTCTCTTTCCTTCCTTCCTTCCTTCCTTCCTTCCTTCCTTCCTTCCTTCCTTCCTTCCTTCCTTCCTCCCTCCCTCCCT